GAATGGAAGTTTACTTGATGGTTGTGGTGGTGTAGTATAGCCAGGTCTTGGAGACGTAGAAGAATTGTATGGGGCGGAAGTAACAGCTCCGAATGGAAGTTTACTTGATGGTTGTGGTGGTGTAGTATAGCCAGGTCTTGGAGACGTAGAAGAATTGTATGGGGCGGAAGTAACAGCTCCGAATGGAAGTTGATTTGATGGTTGTGGTGGTGTGGTATAGCCAGGTCTTGGAGACGTAGAAGAATTGTATGGGGCGGAAGTAACAGCTCCGAATGGAAGTTGATTTGATGGTTGTAGTGGGGTATGTGAATGACCAGGCGGTTTTTTCTGGTACAATGGCTGTTGATATAATGATGAACTGGATGAACTGGATGAATTGGATGAAGGTGACGCTGCAGGTAAATTTGGTGATAACTGAGTTGCATTTTGATTGAATAGTTGTGGTTGATTTAATTTTTGATATTGTTGTGATGATGATTGCTGAATGGGCGAATTTATTCTTACTGAAGAATCTGGTTGTAAGAATTGTGTTGTATTTGGCGCAGGAGAAGGTGTGGGGGTAGGTTTTGAATGTAAAGGTAGCTGCGGTGGTGGTAACTGTTGTAATTGTGCATTTTGATTTATTGGTGGGTGTGGTGATGAAGGGGATGAAGGCGAATGATAAAAGATGTTGGAAGTAGAACTTTGTGTTGAATGAGGTGGATTATTGAAGCCATTATTATTATGCATTGGTGGTGGGTGAGGAGAATTTTGGAAATGTGGTTGTAGATTACTGGGCGCAGTATAAAATTCATCCAGTGAATAAGTATCAGAAGTGTGCTTATTAGTATTATTTTGCTGAGAATATTCAATAGTCTCTGGATTTATTGGTTGCTGCGGCTTTTGTAAATAATTTGGTGGATAGGGTTTTTGAAGATTGTCATATGCAAAATTTTCATCATCAACTGGATAATTATTTACTATGCGATTATCATTGTCATAATCATAATCATTATTAACAACCATATTATTAGTTGTATAAAAAGGTTGTTGCTGTGTTGTTTTTTTAAATGGATCATATCTGTCTGCTGGATCTGATACCATTGTAGTATTAGTAATATCATCCGAAGACTCATCATCTTCAATGGAAAAATTTTTCCTAATTATATATTTTCTACCAAGGAAAAAGGCTATTGCAGCTATAACTGATATAATTAAACTTATCAATACCAACCAATAAGCGATACCAAAGGTTGCTTTATAAGAATTAGCCGATTGACTATTCACATTAATCGTATTAATTATAGTCATCACGCCATTATTAAACATTATAAAGTCAACAATGAAGGAAAATAATAATATCCCGGTTGATAAAATTGATATTTGCGATGCAATACCTAATAAAAGCTTTGCAGCACGTATATGAGCTATTATACCAAGTAATAATGTGACAAGTAATGAAAATATTGCTGAAATTTGATTTTTAAAAAAAAAAATAAAAATTATAGCGATTGTTTAGAGAAAAATAAATAAATGTATATATATATGTATGTATGTATGTATGTATAAAGAAATTAAATAACCCTACCAAATATATGAACTATAGCTAAATAACCTAAAGCGCTACCAACAGTTGGAATAACAACACCATCCGGAACTACTATATTCAATCTTGAACGATCTTACCAAAATAAAAAAAACAAGTTAGATTAAGGATATAGATTAGATTAGATCATTAATTAAATTAATTGAGATTGAATTAATTGATATTTATTTATTTCTAATTTCATGAATATTTTTTTAATAACTTACCAAACGTGTAGCCAAATTTTGGACTTTCGCATTCTAAAGGACCAGTATTTTGAACGCAAGTACCCCATAGTCCAAGTGTTAGAAATCTAGTGTCGGTAGGATCGCTTGGTGTTATTTTAACAAAAAAAATTGCTTTTATAAAAGTAGTGGATAAAACTGCAACTACAATTGCAGCTAATGTCAAAAATGCCAAAAATGTTCCTGGAGTTGCTCCAACGTTTATGATAGACATTTGTTATTATTGTTTAAATAATTTTTATGGATTGAAGAATTATTTATAAAGAATAATATAATTATAAAAACATGTTAATTTATCTTAAAAACTTTTTTTTATTTAAAAAAAAAAGAATTTTTCAGAATTGATTTTATTTTATTATTATTACATATATGTGATTAAATATTTAAAAATAAAATTTTAACTCATCCCATCTACAATTACAAACTCCTTGTGTCATTATTAGTATTTCTAAGAATATTATTTATTTAAAAAATTTCATTTTCGATACAGGATTTTTAACTTGATTTAAAATACCGCCAACAGAACTAGATTCATTGTTATTTGTATTTGGGAAGAATCCAGAAACAGGATTGTCTTTTAGATCTGGGAAAAATCCTGACTGATCAGGATTCTCTTGCTGATTATATTCAAAAGGCTGTTCTTGATATGAATTATCCTCTGGTTGATACATATCCTGCGACCCGTAAATATCTTGTGATTGTTGATACGAGTCATCTTGTGGTTGGTATGACGAATCATCTTGATTATACATATCCTGCGAACCGTAAATATCTTGTGGTTGTTGATACGAATCATCTTGTGGTTGATATGATGAATCATCTTGATTATACATATCCTGCGATCCGTAAATATCTTGTGATTGCTGATACGAGTTATCTTGTGGCTGTTGATATGAGTTATCTTGTGGCTGATATGGGTCTTGTGGTTGATTATAATCATCCTGTGTTTGCTGTTGATAATAATAATCATTTTGTGGTTGTTGATAATAATCATTATTATCTTGTTGTGCGAATTGATCTTCTTGTTGATATTGTGAAGAATCATCATAATACTGTTGTGATACATCATCTCCACCACTATAATCAGTTTGTCCATAATGATCACCACCTTGATTGGGATCATAATATGAATCTTGTATATCTTGAGCAGCTTGATCTTCTGTTTGATCTTCCACTTCCTGGTCACCTTCTTGTTGCTGTTGGTCATCACCTTCTTGCTGTTGGTCAACTCCTTCTTGCTGTTGGTCAACTCCTTCTTGCTGTTGGTCAACACCTTCTTGCTGTTGGTCAACACCAG